TGTACATGTGGTCTCTACAGCAATTTAAATAATTCAAGGACATCAGCAAGTGGTCGAATGGCTTCAGAAGAAGGAACTATTTTAATAAGAAAATAAGGGATATATTTTAGAAAACAAAACAAACTTTTTTCTATGTTTAAGTAGGTGGGCATTATATAGGAAAATTTAAAAGGGTGAAAACAAGATGGGGCAAAAATAACCCTGTATACAGTATTGGTGTGTATTAATTACCTGTTGCTGACATTAATGTCATAGAAGGCCTTTCCAGCTCTGGATTACAGAGGGCCCAAGTTGATGTTAGAGTTGTCAATACACCTAGTTTCTGTGCAGTTGTCAGCTGCACAAACTCTTGGTCTGCTTTTCTTGCCTGTCTTTTTCTTTGGGTGTTTCTAATTCTTGTAAGACTTTTTTCTTCTTTTTCTTTCTTTCAGCTTTGTTTTTCCTTCTATCCATGGAATTTTATGCACATAATTACATGCAATTCTCTCATATTTGATTATTTGAGGAATTAAAATTATTAGAACCACACAGTTTTCCGAATTATTAGTGTTACATAATTATAAAAAAGTGTTAATTCGCTGAATTCTGATCCATGTGCTGCCTTAACAAACCCGCGCAGTGTACCTGCTGTTGTAATTCCCTAAAGTAGTGTTGGCGTTGTCTCTGTGAAATAGAAGACAGTGTACCAGCTGTTGTAATCTCCTGGAGTAGTGCTGGTGTTGTCTCTACAGGTGAAGATTGTTGGAGTACCACGGAAGGTGGTGCTACTGGGGTTGGTGCATTTGGTACAGTAGAATTTGTCAGTGTCTGCGCTGTAGACATTTTTTTCGAGATGTCGTCCTGTCTGCAAGTGCTCTCAATGGCAGGAATTCTTGAGTTCATGCAGGCTCTCTCTAGATCCTCCACAGACTGATTTGTAGCTGCTGGGACTGCTGGGGATGAATCTCCCTTTCTTCTCTTTTGAGTCTGGTAGCCATTTTCTATGTATGAACAATAATCAGATTAAAATATAAAATATATCATTAAAAATATATGACATTGTTACAGATTTAAAGCAAGGAAATGCTAGTTCCGTTGAAAAAGAAAGGTTATATAACTATTGATGCCATGTCCAAAAATATACATCAGTCATATGTGAAAATCATTTAATTTCTGGTTACTTAATCTTTTACTATACATAATAATGTACATCCAATAAATAGAATTGAAAACTGAAACAAGTGTTAACCAATTTCAATATCAGCTCCAAATCCAGGCCCCAAAACCATAAACTGAGAATAGACTTAAGTCAAAAATTTAATTTTTAATATCTTCGGTTCCATTCGACTTATTAGCTTAAAAGTTTGCAACTGTGCAAAAGACTTCAATTTAAATATATAGTAAACATTTTATTTTATTATCGAAATTATTTCAGAAGTTAAATTGATTTGAAATTTTGACTTAAGTCTGTTCTCAGTTTATGGTTTTGGGGCCAGATCTCAGTACTTTAAATTGCAAAATGATTCTATCGAAGATCCAACAAGAAATAAAAGCTATCTAAACTTCATTCACTGCATTTATACCGTCAGCACTAGAAATAACAGTAGTGGACATTGTTTTCTCCTTTTGCTTAGAGGATGAGGTCTCATTCTTTTTTGTCTCTACTGCTGGGGATTTTTAAAAAAAAATTTCCGAGCATTTGTAACTTTATTTGTAATGGCAGAGTTAAATTCAAGTGTTGATGGTTCTTTCCACTTCTTCTTAACAGAGTGGTATCTGAAATAACCTGAAAGTTAAAACATTAAAGCAGAATGACAGAACATTTACTTTTTATAACAATTTATGTATTATTAAAATTGTTTTTAACCCATTTCCTTCTGCAGCCAATTCAGCTGGGCTTATCAGTAATACGGAGGATAACAGAGCTGCTGCTGAGAATGCTAAGTCAATTAGCACCATGCTTACATTCTGCTGGATAATTAGATAACTACTGTCTAGAGACATAATAAAGTATATATTTTCTAAAAGCTCTTAAAATTCTGCATCTTACAGTATAATTTTCAGAATGCAGAAGCAATATTATCCTCAATAATACTTTGAGTAAATAAAAGAAAATTTGTAAACACAATTTTTTGTTTTAAATTATTTTTATTTACATGCATTTTACTCAAATAAAGTGAATGTAAACAGCACATTTTTTTTGCATAAATTCATAAAACAAATATTTCTGCTTCAAATACAGTTCACAGAATAAAAATATCTTGAAAAATAAAAAAGTTATTACATTTCTTGAAAATGGAGTATTTCTTGACATAAACATCATTTATTTGCTTTGCTTCAAATTTACTATAGCCAAGAAAAAAATTATTTTAACAACAAATTTTAACTATAACAATCTGTTTTTAAAGTGTTTATATTGTAAGATAATGAATAAAAAGAAATATCTATTTTAAAAAGTTCAAACTTCAATGTACTTACGTAAAATTTATGAAAAATAAAACAATACTAAGTCCACAGAATTATCCATTTGAACAAACATTCCTAAACACAATTCACTTGTTCAACATTCTCATAATATGTTTTGAGCTGCACTCTAAGTGCACTGGAACACCACACTGCTGGCACCCAAATTTTGTTACTCCTTTTCTCTGTCCCTGCGGCCCAGAAAGTGAACATTCACGACACACCTTGTTCTTTGGGAACATTTTCACAATGTCGTGGGCAGTAGCCCTGCCCCCACAGTCAACTTTTGGTGGCTCCCTTCTAGCCCTGGTGTCACCAATCAGATCTTCCACCAGTTCCTCGATAAAGTCCTGGAATCCTGGCCACCTCTCCCTCGCGGCGTGGGTGTGAATGTCCTTGGCGACAATGTATGCGTTATGGGCCGATGCCATCATCAAGTAAAAAAATATGCGGCGCCACCATTTCTTTGACCTGTAGTTTAGCTGGTAATACCCCACCATTTGATCACAGAGATCCACTCCTTTCATGTTCTTTTGATAATCAGCCAGCATGAGTGGGACTTGAACGACACGATTCTCAGCTGCTCTCCTTGAAACTTGACCACGGTGGGTTGGATCATGGAAGTTGGAAAGTACCGTCACTGGTTTAGTGTCCTGCCATACACAGTAAGTCAGGTTGTCTTTCTGGGCAACCTTGAATTCATGTTTCTGAAGACCAACTTTGCTTGGTAGTAGGTGTTTAGGAAGACCTTTTCTATTCACACGTACCGTTCCACAAGCCATGATTCCCCTGATGTGAAGGTCGTTCAGAAGTTCCGGACTTGTGTAAAAATTGTCCATGTAGACACACAAGTTGGATCCAAAATAATGATGGCACAGGTCCATTACAACTCTATGAGTAAGTCCTTTTTCTTGGTTATTTTCTTTCCCTGTGTATACTTGAAACTTGCTCAAGTATCCGGTATCGCTTTCAGCAAGTGCCCAGACTTTCACTCCCCATTTTACTGGCTTTGCGGGTAGGTATTGCCGAAACGATAATCTGCCCTTAAATTTGATCATACTTTCATCTACCGTCGCATTCCCATAGGGCACATACATTTCTTCAAACTTTTTATTTAGAAAGTCCAATAAATAACGGATCTTCCACAATTTGTCGGGTGTGTCTGGCTGAATTTCATTATTCTGTACATGGAGGTATCTCCAGATCAAGAAAAATCTGTCCCTGGACATCACTCTGTTGAAATTTGTTACAAACATCCATTTGTTTTGCCTCCAGTAGTCAGCTTTGTCTGGCAATCTGAGGATGCCCATAGCAAAACATAGGGCTAAAAACGCCTTGATGTCTGACTTGTCAACGGGCGTCCATTTTGGAGCAAACGGAGGGGGTGGGGTTTTCTCGCGTTCTTGTTGTGCATAATTGTTCGTTTCTTGAACTAACCTGTCTAGAAGTTCGTTAGTCCAAAATAACTCGAAGTACTGGCCGGCTGACGCCTCTTCCGGATGTTCAACTGTTGCGCCACCGATTTTTCTGAAGACATTTCCAATACGTGGATGAAAATTTTCAGACGTCCACTCGCTCTGAAAGCCCAAAAAATCGGCTTCGTCATTGCTGTCCTCCTGAAAAATGTTGTGTATCCAATCATCAACATCTCCACGAATGATCTCTCTTTCTACATCTGCAATATTCTCCTCTTGTTCCTCATAATCTCCCTCAATATCACTACCATCGCTCAGTCCTTCTTCTCTGTCCGCCATTTTGAAACTACGATCGCGTCAGTGACTCGGATTTCCTTTGTTTTAACCAAAATTTCCCCCAAAAAAGAGGTATCTAGTTTCATTTTTAATGCGCATGAGCAAGGGAAATTTCCACTGTCTAAATCATGCAAACGTTTTATTCATACGGGGCTTTTACATAGTAATTCAAGGGCCTCTAAGACGCTTGTATGAAAACAACGACTGTAGTGGTACGCCGAAGATAGCGCACATGACGATAACAGTCGTACCACGAAGGAAATGGGTTAAACACTCCAGGGGTTTTCCATCTTTGAGCATGGGGTTGAAACCATCTTGCTTTAAATAATAGAATCTAATTCCACACAAATAATGTTTGATTGTAGAATGTTTAATTTGTTTATGTTCATCACAAAAAGCTACAAAGCCCATAAGTAACTTTTCTGTAACTGGCGGAAGACTTCCATCATCCCATGTTGTGCCATGAAGTAGAAGAAACTTTGTGTAGGAGTCCATACCTGCTTCATAGACAGTTAAAGTTGCAAGGGCTAGAGTACGAGTCCAGAGATTGTCTATTGGGCTGTCCAAAGTTTCTCGGATAGTGGTGGACATGGTGTTGGTAGTTCCTCTGTATCCGGCATCAGTTGTCGGAATTTCTTTATCTGCTATGATCTGTTGCCGCACTTCTGGAGAAATAATTTCCATGTCGGAGATCGACCTTGCTGGCACACTGAATGACCGCCTAGACATCTGGCTTAATAATCACTGCAGGTACGTACTGCGTACGACATCGGAGGTAACACTAACCTGGATTTGACATGCTGCCATGGCAGACTGTAAGGTGAAGTTTGATGAAGGCTTGCTTTTTCGTGTCAATTGCAGCAAAGTTTGCTGACAAAGTTGTAGCGTGTTTACAAGTGCACTCTCTAGTTTGTGGTTGTTGCCGAGGCCTTTAGAAGTCCCATGGACTGAAGTTGACTGCATTGTATCACTGCAAAGTGATGATTGGGTCGTCGGTTGTATAACTGTCGTAGAGTCCCTGTATGGATAGTGAAGTATTGTGAAACAGTTTCTGTGTTTAAATAGAGTTTGTACTTATAATAAGCAACACTGCTGGATATTTTACTTTTTTTCAGTATTTGTGTTAGCACTATAATCTAATTTTCGCACCATATGATCTGATTCAACAGCTTGTCCATGAGATAGGCTTTCTAGTTGTAAACGAGTAGCTGCAAGCATTTCTTTCTCATATTAAATTGCCTCTTCATTTTGTGTCTTCTTCAATAATCTCTTTTCTGTTTCTATCTGTGGTTGATTCTTCAGGCTTGTTATTTCTTCTTTCAATTTTTGTATTGTCTCTGTTGTATCATTAGTTGTTGGCATTGATGCGCTTTGCTCTTACCCTGGGTAATAAGGGCTTCAAGTATCTTATTAGTGTTTGATTGGTAACCAAGGTCAATATTTTGGAAACCTTTTGCAATAGCCTTCTCCAATCTCTCATTTGAAATGAGTAGAAGCTTAAACTCTTCCGAAGCTACATTTATGTCAGTGTGTTCTTTTGAGTCTTACTTGTTTTAGAGTGGTTTCTTCGGGAATACTTTGTTCTGATTGGTGAGTTAATAGCAAAAATTTCCATGAGAATTTTGAAGTGATGGTTAATGAAGAGCTGGTATTGGTTTCCTTGTATTCTGATTGTCCCTGTTGAAACAAATACTGTAACATTGTAAATTAAAGCTCCCTCTGTTGTTTTAAATTCAATTTTTATGCAAGTTTCAGAGTTGACTGGTTCTGCCCAATTTCTGGGTGAGTCGACCCAGTTGACACTTATGTCATTTAATTTCCCTAGGTTTTCATAATAAAAAAACATGCAGTGCTTTGATCCATAGGCCCAATCTCTCTTCAGACGTATGTAAAGTTATAATCTGTGCATATTCTTCATAGATGCTTGTGTCCAATTTTTCAAACAAATTTTTCTTTGCTTTGCCTGTACCTATTTGAACATGAACACTAGCACCTGAGAAATAAGAGTAATTCTAACATTAAAAGTATATATGCTCATATGTAAATAACACTACTTCATTGATTATTCCATAACCAATAAAGCATATTGGTTCAATTAAAAAAAAAATCCAATAGATTTGAGTACAGAATTGACCTTTAAGTCATGAACTGTTAACAGGATAATAGAAATCTTCTTAATGACAAGATACAAACTGCTATCTTGATAACAGTCGCTAATAATGAAATTATTTCTGAGTATTTAACATGCTATGCTGAGCATCTCGAAGTACTAACTGAGGAGTTTGAATGTATCTAGTGTAACAATCTGAAGACCATCTACCTAAAGATTTGATTAGATGATCATCCTAGCGCATGCTGCCAAAGTGGCTGCCCCTATTTGAAAAGAATGTCCATTGTATTTTGTAGAATCCACCCCTACTCTGTCTAAAACTTGCTTTAAACTTGCTTTAAACATTCAATTTATATAAAACTTTAAGACAAGGAATAAGTTTCAAAATTTTAATTCAGTTTCATATCTCTAATAGATCAGTCTATCTTTATATATATTTGCTGTAATAATGCACTTGCTCTTGCAGAAAATGCTTTGTGGTACTCATAGAAAGCATACGAACCCTTTGTCATTGATGACATTTCGACAATATTTTTTTCATATGCGTTAAGTTCTGCTCTACGCCAAGGATAGCACATAACATTTTTGAATTTCGTGAAAGTCAGAATAAATTCACTGATGGTGAGATTCCTCAAGAGTTTGTTGTCGCTGGAATTTTTTAAGATAACTATCTTGCCTTCGCTATCTTGAAACTTACTTTCTTCTATCTCATGAGGCAATAACAACTGTGCAAGATTAATGTTTTTATCTTGAATGATATTGTTCCTTATACTTGTTGGCCTAGTCTCAACATACGGAAGGCTGTCCGAAGCTTGTCCAATTCTGTTAGTGTCGATGGATGAATTTAAGTTGTGGCTATAGAAGCCTACAACTGGCGATTCGGATTCCGTATTCACGTTTGGATTTTCCTTTAAATTCTTCACATCTTCTGAAATCTTAGAGAGAGATCGCTGCAACGTCTCCAATGTATTTGCGATGTTGGCCATTCAATTTTGACTGTCTTACTCTCACATTATCACTTTTCCTTTTCCGTGTTGACATTTTGAAAGTTCAAAGTTCACCGAGCTCGTGACACGACTATTCAGTGATCCATTAAAAATTGCTCCGCTGCCACATATAGACACAGTTAATAAAACAGGTTTCCAAAATTGAATCGATTACATTGTACAAGTATCCATTTCTGTTTAATGGTCAAATATTCCATAGGAATCCAAAAAATTAAGTTAAAAAACAGCAGAGATCAATGATAACACTAGAATCAAGCTATTGTCTCTAAATGAAATGATTTCATTGGCTCATGAAAGCACGTGATAAAAATAGTCTGATAAATGGTGCGAAACTCTATACTTTTATATAAACAATATTTAATTACATTAAAAACATTAAAAAATGTCTGATTGACTGGAATACCAACATTTGTTAAAAAAATGGTTCATCTTTTAAAGCCTTGGAATATTTTCGAAATTGCATGTTTTTAGCTCTACTGGTCAGAGACCAGAAGAGCTTATGCGATAGTAATGCGTCCATCGTCCGTCCGTCTGTCTAGCTGTCTGTCTGTCCGTCTGTCTGTCTGTAAACAATTTTTCAAAATGCTACTCCTCCTACAGTTTTAGTCTGATTTCAATATAACTTGGCACACAAGTAGACTACACTAAGATACATAATTCTGTCTATCGGTTTTTGATTTCGATGAACGGTGTTGCCGTGGTTACTAAAAATAGAAATTTCTGTGAAATTCTTTCAAAATGCTACTCCTCCTACAGTTTTAATTAGTCTGTTTCCAATATAACTTGGCACACAAGTAGACTACACTAAGATACATAATTCTGTGTATCGGTTTTTGATTTCGATGAACGGTGTTGTCGTGGTTACTAAAAATAGAAATTTCTGTGAAATTCTTTCAAAATGCTACTCCTTCTACAGTTTTAGTCTGATTTCAATATAACCTGGCACACAAGTAGACTACACTAAGATACACAATTCTGTATATCGGTTTTTGATTTCAATGAACGGTGTTGCCGTGGTTACTAAAAATAGAAATTTCTGTGAAATTCTTTCAAAATGCTACTCCTTCTACAGTTTTAGTCTGATTTCAATATAACTTGGCACACAAGTAGACTACACTAAGATACACAATTCTGTGTATCGGTTTTTGATTTCGATGAACGGTGTTGCCGTGGTTACTAAAAATAGAAATTTCTGTGAAATTCTTACAAAATGCTACTCCTTCTACAGTTTTAGTCTGATTTCAATATAACTTGGCACACAAGTAGACTACAATAAGATACATAATTCTTTGTATCAGTTTTTGATTTCGATGAACGGTGTTGCCCTGGTTATAGAAATTTCTGTGAAATTCTTTCAAAATGCTTCTCCTCCTACAGTTTTGGTCTGATTTCAATATAACTTGGCACACAAGTAGACTACACTTAGATACATAATTCTGTGTATCGGTTTTTGATTTCGATGAACGGTGTTGCCGTGGTTACTAAAAATAGAAATTTCTGTGAAATTCTTTCAAAATGCTACTCCTTCTACAGTTTTAGTCTGATTTTAATATAACTTGGCACACAAGTAGACTACACTAAGATACATAATTCTGTGTATCGGTTTTTGATTTCGATGAACGGTGTTGCCGTGGTTACTAAAAACAGAAATTTCTGTGAAATTCTTTCAAATTGCGACTCCAAATACAATTTTAGTGTGATTATAATATAAATGTGGCATGCAAGTAGACTGCACTAAGAACATAAAGAGACTTAACCCCCTTCCCCGCAGTCACGCATTTTAACGCATATACCATTTCCTATTTCTAACGCAAAATCACACATATACCGTTTCCCCGCAATCACACATTTTCACGCACTTTAAAAAGTTCATTAAATCTTAAATT